GTAAAGTAAGGTAATGCAGTTGTAGTAAGATTTAATAAATACAAAAAAGCGCAATGTATGTGCAAACATTAATATACATTTTTACGAAACATTATTAATTTTATATAAAAACATTCATATATATAAAAACATACATACATATATCAAGCTAGACTGTATAATTAACTGTAGGCTGGTTTTGAATATAAATATATATATTGAATTTATATTTATATTTGTATATTCAAATATTTCCAAGAAATGCTTTCCTTTTATATATTTGTTACAATAGTATATCATAAAAACGATGTTTAGAAAAGTATGTCCAATCATTTATCCATATAATTCAATTTAATTAATTTTAATTTCAGTATGTAGTTATCATTCTAACAACATTCATTCTATCTATAATGCATACACTATATATATTCGCTTATTCAAATAAAAGTCATTAAATAATAATTAATTTTGTTTTATAATATATTTAACAAATATAATTATTATTATTTGCCGTTCACTCTTCTACGCACAAATAATTCGTACATTTTTCTCTTTATTTTAAAACTCAAAAATAATTATTTTTCTTGCCTTTAAAGCAAAATGTTCATAAATAACTATTAATTTTTGCAAATAAGGGCAACTTATTTTTGAAGATTTTTAATAAATTAAAATTAGAATAGGACATTCTTTCATTCTTTGAAAATTTTAAAATTGCACATTAATCATATTAGTCATGAGAATCACATCTCATATAATATATAATAATTGATATGGATTTTAATATTTTCGGAGTCAGTATAGAATTGCAGGCTAAAATAGAAAATAAAAGAATCACTATCCAACTATATAAACAATAATACAATATAGATTGCATACACAATATCTTAGAGATAGATTAGTTGAGTGTGTGGTATTATAATTCACTAATATATTGAACATTTAGTTGAACATTTTTAAGAAAATTTGGCAATTTATTTTAGTTATTATTAGTAAATAAAAAATTATATATTTTAGTAAATAAAAAATAAAAAAATCTACATTGTGCAAATAACATTAAATAAATAATATACCTATATATATATTATAATATATAATAATATATAATATATATTTTTTTGTTTTTTGCAAAGTTAATTTTGACTTCGCCCCAACACTTCTCTGTTATTTTAATTTATCTTGAGTGTTCCATTAGAGGACTTGACAGTAGATCTCAGAGAGACTCTTCCAATCCATTTCCATTTGCGACGCTTAGTCATAGTTTTTCAGGATCAATATTGTATCTCTCGATAAGTTCTTGATTAGTTATAACGTCGGGCAATTATATTCCATATCACCATTCACAATAGTAACTTTATATTACTTTCACAAGTTATACACCCAGTAAATACTGTTCGTTAAAAAATAAAATTTTTTATTTAACGCCACAGAAAAATTTTGAAATTTCAAGCAGATACTGGACCTCAAGCATTACCATATTTTAGTAAAGCACATACTTTTATAACGTTATATATACAAACTTTTAAATCTTGGAGCACGCCATTAACAATAATATACGCATTATATAGCTTTTCCAGAACACAGTTCTAGAAATAATCCATAAATGCTATCTCATGCATTAAAACAGAGATCTGTACTGCGTTACGAACACAACGAGTTACTATAAGACGAAGCTGGATATTATGAGAAAGCAAAAAGAGTTATATACTAAATATTGGTTTTAGTATATTAACGGAAAATTAATAATTAATATAAATATATTTTAATAAATCCAATAACGAAATATATGAAAAATACTTATGAGTACCAATGGAATATGAATAAGTAATTAAGTGATTGGATAAACAAACTTATCGGTGAAATAACAACATTCACCTTTTTATTCTAAAAATTAAAAAGAATAATAATAATTTTTTCTTTAATTTTATTATATATAAAATGTAAAGCATCTTCATTATTTGTATTTGCTTTTAATCACAAACTTCTAGAAAACGCGCTCTACCCGTGGACCTAACAAAATTATCTTAAAAATCAAACCGATCTGATACAATATCAGATCTCAGTTTATTTAAACATCATTTATTAGGTTAAATGTATTTATACATATATATAGTTTATACATTATATAGTTTTATATAAAGTGTAGATAATAAAAAAAATTTTAAGTTTTAATTTAAATAATTAAAAATTGATTTTTAACGCCTGTTTTTAATATAAACTATTATCTTCAATAGACAGATTTTTATCGAACAGTAGTAAATCACAACAATAAAATTTTATTATTTATTAATTTATGGGTGACCATACAGCTGTTTATTAGTTAATAATTATTTTAAAAATTCAAGTACAAAGAGTTGAAGTCGTGCCCTACCAAATATAAAGCTCAGAGTCTGATCCCAAGCCGTACTTGACTCTTGTGTGTTCGTACTTTAGAGTTCTGTTAATTTGCTGTGAAAGATCATTAACAAATTCACTAACTATTTTATATCAGAACAAAATCATAAACCAGTTAGAGCTACAGAGTAATTGAATTAATTAAATATTTTCTTATTTTAAATTGTTAAATTTCAATACTATTCTTTTGTAGAAGAATTATTTATTACATGATTTTATTATTGCATGAATTTTTTTTTAAAAAACAACCGCAAATCCATTTTATGGAAACAAAAGAGTGTTCCGCTCGAAAAACATAATACCTAAGAAATAGACGAAACAAAATTAGGACCGTACTCGAACAGTAAAAGGAACAAACTTAAATACTTCTACTATGTGGTTTTCTGGTCTTTTAGATCAGTTAAAATAAGTAAAAAATCAATCCCATAGAGTTGAATCCACTTTTAAGACCACTTCTAGTGATATGTTACATTCTCTCATAACGTTTATATAGAACTGAGTTACATAAACAAATATACTAAAATTTTTCAAATTATGGATCTACAGAAAAACTTTATAGATTATGAGGTGCTAAGATAACCGTTAACAGCAATAAAAATACGGAAACTACCTTATTTCGAACCCAAAGAAATAATGCATGGTCCAAAGTACATATTTCTTCAACTAATTTCAAACTAGTAACTAACAGGTACAGTCCTATGTATATAAGTTAAAAACAGTGATTAAGAATATATATTATTATATATAATTATATTTTAGTCAATTTAACTTAAATTGAAAATTGTAACTTCTTACAATGAAGTTCATGTGATCACTTACAGTTTTATATAGGATCGCATTTTACAAAAAAAGAAGTACTCTTGCTTTTTTTTTATACACAAATATATCATATGCTTTCTTCCAATAAAAAACTAATATGAAAGCAATCTCTATAAATTATTGTAAAACAATTTGAATAATATCTATAAAAACAGATATATAAAAATATTAATGAAAAACGATTTTAATAAATTTTTTAAATGCAACTGGTTGAAGCAACTACTATACAGTGATATTGTTTTTTAGGTTTATCTGGATTATATTGGTTTAAAGTAAAAATAATTATACATAATAACTATATCAACAAAAGTAGACATGTATTAGCTTTTCATAGAAATATATTTTCATATATTGCACCCATAATTAGTAACAAAACGCTATAAAGCTTACATTGTACGCTTCAAATATTTATAATTCTCATTAAGTTCATACATTAATTACTCCAAATATAATACATTCACAATGAAAAGTGTTTTCATTTTAATATAATTGTTTGCTTGTTAATTTTTCCTCTTTTATTTTTTACATTTTTAGTATCTACATTTTCATTCTTAATAAAACAAAACAAACTTAAATAAAACAAACTTATGGACAAATAGTTTGGTTCTATTAAGTACAAAACGTTAAGTTTTTAAATTACTTCGATGACTAAATAGAAAATATTTTATTTTAATTTGTAAATGATATTATGTGTTATAAACAGCAAAAATATACTTTTTCCATTGGATTATTTAGTTATTGCAAAAAGAGTAATTTTTTTCTCATTTTTGTTTTTTTTTTTATTATAAACTTTATCCATTATTATTTATCCATTATGAAAACTATTTCCTTTGTTAGAGAAAATAAGGAAATAAGACATTAAAAGAGCATCCTCTTCATGTAATTTTGCGTTAGAACGTTTGCTTTAACATGGTATGAAATTATGGAGAGTTCTGGTTGTAAAACATAGTGGTAGTGACTCCATGAGTGAAATATAATACCCGTGTAACTGTATATATCTGTGAGGGTTTCCGGAATTTTAACAGGTATTCTCATAAGACTAGTATTTTGTCCAATATACTTAGAATGTCTTCATAAGCCACTTTGTATTTTGGATTTTTTTCTTTAAGTATTTCTTCGTTTTGTCGTTATATATGGTATATAATTAATTTCCATTTATTGCAAAATTATGTAAATCCAACTTATATCAGAACTTTTTTTTTTGCATATTTGAAAATGTTTTTGTTAAATTATTAAAACTTAAATAATGATAATTTAATTTTTATTAATTAATTAATATATTATTTATTAATTTGTTGTTAAATAGTATTAATTGGAACATTTTCTTTTATTTCTTATCGAAAATATTTATTATCTATATTATTAAGTTTAGAGTTTATTGTTTTATTAATTTATTTTTTTTGTATATAATAAATATAATAGATAATAAAAATTATTTTATAATAATAATATATTTAACTTTTAGAGTTTGTGAAAATAATTCGAATAATTCGAACTCATTTAAATGATTATTTTTAATTATTTCGAATTTTATAATCTTAAAAATAATATTTTTTTTTGGCTTTTCAGTCGCTTTCTGATTTTTTACTTACCCATTACTTACACATTTCTTTTAAAGATGTATTTATTGTTGAAATATTGTAAAAAATATTTTTCATTGAACAAATGTTAAAAACAAAATTGCTAATATTGAATGCCAAATTGTCCAGATTCTTTTTTACTCTCCAAGAATATCCTTTTGATTGATTAATCGAATCCTTTTGATTGATCCATTAAATCGAAAAATTTTTTTATATCTGATTTAAAAATTATTTTATTTCACTTTTTAAATATTAAGAAGACAGCATTATATCAATAAAAAACTTATATTTTAAAATATTTTGGTCAGGTCACTGTTAATTCGCTTTTGTTCAGAAATATTCACGGTCAAAATTCCATCCATTATCGAAATGAAAACAACTAAGAACCATTAGCCGTAATAGGCATAGGGAGAAGCGTAGTAGCCAGAATAAGCATATGGTGTTCCATAATAGAATTGAGGAGCTGGTGCTGGTAGCGGATTAGGGCTCGCAACTGGTACTGGAGCTGGTCCGGCTACTGGGGCAGGAACCGCAAAAGCAACAGCAAATATAGCAGCAAAAAGTACAATTAACTAAATTTAAAAATAAAAAACTGTTTATAACCAAAACGTATTACTTCAATTGCTAACTCACAAATTTAAACATTTTCAAAATTTTTAAAATTTTTATTTCTTGAACGTTTGAGTAGAATTTTTTAACTGATATCGTTTTAGAATGCTAGGGCTATTTATACTTACCCCATTTATTTGTATTCTAAAATATATCCATACAATAGATACGTGCTTATAATTTCACTTTTTTTTTTATCTCTACTCTTATATCAGGCTTCTCGTTTTTTAAAAGTGAAATATCTCAATGGAAGAGTAAATGGGATTTCTCTAAATAAACAAATAGAAGAACTTAATAATTTTAAGTAAAAGAATCACAACAAACAAAATTATAAAACATTTTGAATACGGATATCTTATAAGTAACAACAAATATGACATTCACATACATTTAATGTTTAGAATTTAATTATAAAATCTGCAACTTTTTTAAATCGCAAAAATCTATACCCATTTCGTCTGTACTCTTCTATCTATATTGAATATTAATGAGGATCAGCTTTAAAAATTTTCGCACACATTTCGCATACAAAACAGTACTGATTTTGAAAGCGAAAACTACTGAGCTCATTTCATGATGTTCACGTTTGTAATCCGGTATGTGTAATATTAACAAATTAGTAACTCTGAACATATCGGAATTCGAAGTAAGTTAATTTTTAGTAAGATCCGCGTTCCTTAAGATTCAACACTTAAGAATCTGTGTTTATATTAAAAAAAAATTTTAAATAAACAATTTAATCAAAAAAAAAAATGTGCTCCGACTCTGAGCTGCAAATTTGGCAGGACACAAGTTCGATTGCTGATACTTGTAGTCTCAAACAAAAAAAAAACTTATTAACGAATAATTATATATAAGAAATAATTTGAAGTCCTTAATAATGGGTATTTGGCAATACTAGAAACAGCTGTATGGTCAGCAAAAAATTAAACTAATTAAAATAATATAAAAAAGAATTTTTGTTGTTGTAGTTCATTACTTTTCGAAAAATCGGTTTATAAGAAAAAAAAAAATAAAATAAATTTTATTTATATATATAGAATATATTGAGCACTAAAATTACTCCTTGAGGATATGGAAAATGAAAACAAAAATAGGCGGACAGACAGACGGATCTGCATATATAGATTTGTTCAATTGTTTTATATACCTAAGTTATTCTTAATAAATGTATAATTTTTAATTTATACATTTAATTTGTTAAAAATATGTAATTCGTCTAAAAACTCAAGTATATTGATTGTATGTATATCTCAACTATATTTGATGCCGGGCCACAGAACGGTTTGGTCTTATAGTTTTAAAAATATATAAAAAATATTTTTATGACAAATTTCGTTTATAAAAAATGCTAATATGAAAAGATATTATTTATTTAAATTATGCTATAAAAATATTGTAAATATTTGAGACTCTAAAGAAAGTAAGTGGTTCTACAAAAAATTATAGTGGAAAAATGTGCGATATATGTTTGAGATCGTATAAATATAGTTCTAACTAATTTATAGATAAATAAAATGAATATTAAAAACATTACGATTGTTTACATATAGTTTTCGCATTAACTAATTTAACTTAATTAAATAAATTTATTCAATAGACGATCGGACGCACAAAGTTTTAAATGAAAAAGTTCAAATAAAATTAAAAAAAGATAGAGAACTCCTAAAAACGAAGTAATTTGGTTATATTACCTGAGGTTCAAAATATGAATTGCTACAACTGATTGTGGAAGGCAGAATCGAAGGCAAAACAGGCATGGGAAGAAAACATCCGACATTGAGAAACATTCGACACTGAACTGGGTTAAGAACGATTGGAGATTTGCTACATACTGCTAGAGACAGAGAGAACTTTAAATACATTATTACTAACATATTGTAATTTATACGATTGTATAACATTCAATTTTTGAATAAACAATTAAGGAAGAATAGGTGATCATGCCAACAAAAAAAATCAACTCTAACAGCAGGTAACTAAATTTTTGGTGTATTGATCCAATTTCGATCCAATAAAAGACCGTAGTAAATTTTGACCTTAATGATATGATTTATATATATGGGAAAAAATTATATTTTTTATTATTAGATTAATATCATTATTTATTGTTTTTAACATTATCATTGACTTAACCTCCTATAACGAGCCATTCCCTGTTACAGCTAAGAAAGGCGGAAGTTTCTTCTTTCTTAATGTAGGATTTTCAACAATATATTTTATTATTTTATATTCTATATCTACATTTAAAATAATACAATGACAAGACCTAATGTTACTCAAGTTTTTGGACAATTTTGAAAAGTTGAACTTTCACAAAGAGATTGATTTTCTTGACTGACAATATGTTTGCACCTTCACAAATCACTTGACAAATGTACAACAAAGTGTGATTTTTCATACAAAATTTATACAAAAATGTGGTTCGATAATTGTAGGTGTTAGCATAGGAATAGATTTTATTCTATAAATATTTTTATTTTCTTTAATGTGAAAGCTCTTATTAACGTGTCAGTTTAAATTAAAAAAATGATTTAATGGTTATATAGACTAAGTACCCTTCCGTACTATTATTACTTTCGATTTTAGTGATATTAATTATTAAATTTTGTAATTAATTTTTTGTAATTATTAAATTATCATAAAGTATTGTTTATATTATCTGCATACATATTGAGTTTTATCTTGTCTAAACGGAGTACTTTTGCTATATCATCCATAAATGGAATAAACAAGATAGGGTTATGTACTTAGAGTAAAGTTATCCTATAATACAGTTACTTTGTTATTGAAGACACTTTTCAGACAAGTATTTAGCATTACTTTTTACATTACTAAGCTTAAAACATTAACATACTAAATCAATCGTGTCAAATCTTTAGTTCCAATAAATCTTCCACTAAATCGTAATATCTAATAATGATTAAAATTTTATTTTTACAGTATTGCTCATAGGTTCGAAATAAAATAGGCACATTCTGATACCTCTGATAACAAAAAGTACAAACTTGGGAGATTTATATAGATAGTTTTACTGATTGTTTTTGTATATATGTTCTGATAGGCACTTATATATATATATGACATATATGTATGCTTATTTCGAAGGTAAAGATAAAGTCAATTGACTTTTCGAAGTCCTTAAAAAAGGAAGAGTGATGATGATCTATTAAAAGTAAAGTTAAAAAAAAAATAAATAAATCTTTTTACTTTTCTAAAACAAAATTAAATTTTTATTTTTGTCATCTTTTTGACGCACGTCCATTATGCCATCATAATAAGTATTTATTGGAAGATGTACGTGATTGGAAATATAAAGGAAAATTAAATTAATGGACAGCATAATAAACATTTAAAAATTAAAAAATAGATAAAAAGATAGATCGATAAGCGAGATACATACATATAATTTGCTATGCCGAAATACGTACTGTGATGCCAATAGAATGATATTAGTTTTATATAAAATTTTATTTATGTATATCTATGTTTTTTTTGATTTCTATGTATTGTATTTTGATTTAATAGTTAAATGAATCCGAATAAAAAAGAAGAGACAAGAACAAAAATTTTAGTTAATTTATTGAAAGTTGACTGACCATACAACGTTGTTTCGAGTATTACCAAGTACTCATCATAACTGGTCTTAGGAAATATTCGAATTTATTTTTAATTAGTTTATAGTTCGTATATAATTTGTTTGGACTATAAGCCCCAAGAAATAACAACTTTTTAATAGTTGAATAAATATGGTATATTTTGTTTTCCCATGCGGAAAGGTAAAGTAAGGTAATGCAGTTGTAGTAAGATTTAATAAATACAAAAAAGCGCAATGTATGTGCAAACATTAATATACATTTTTACGAAACATTATTAATTTTATATAAAAACATTCATATATATAAAAACATACATACATATATCAAGCTAGACTGTATAATTAACTGTAGGCTGGTTTTGAATATAAATATATATATTGAATTTATATTTATATTTGTATATTCAAATATTTCCAAGAAATGCTTTCCTTTTATATATTTGTTACAATAGTATATCATAAAAACGATGTTTAGAAAAGTATGTCCAATCATTTATCCATATAATTCAATTTAATTAATTTTAATTTCAGTATGTAGTTATCATTCTAACAACATTCATTCTATCTATAATGCATACACTATATATATTCGCTTATTCAAATAAAAGTCATTAAATAATAATTAATTTTGTTTTATAATATATTTAACAAATATAATTATTATTATTTGCCGTTCACTCTTCTACGCACAAATAATTCGTACATTTTTCTCTTTATTTTAAAACTCAAAAATAATTATTTTTCTTGCCTTTAAAGCAAAATGTTCATAAATAACTATTAATTTTTGCAAATAAGGGCAACTTATTTTTGAAGATTTTTAATAAATTAAAATTAGAATAGGACATTCTTTCATTCTTTGAAAATTTTAAAATTGCACATTAATCATATTAGTCATGAGAATCACATCTCATATAATATATAATAATTGATATGGATTTTAATATTTTCGGAGTCAGTATAGAATTGCAGGCTAAAATAGAAAATAAAAGAATCACTATCCAACTATATAAACAATAATACAATATAGATTGCATACACAATATCTTAGAGATAGATTAGTTGAGTGTGTGGTATTATAATTCACTAATATATTGAACATTTAGTTGAACATTTTTAAGAAAATTTGGCAATTTATTTTAGTTATTATTAGTAAATAAAAAATTATTTATTTTAGTAAATAAAAAATAAAAAAATCTACATTGTGCAAATAACATTAAATAAATAATATACCTATATATATATTATAATATATAATAATATATAATATATATTTTTTTGTTTTTTGCAAAGTTAATTTTGACTTCGCCCCAACACTTCTCTGTTATTTTAATTTATCTTGAGTGTTCCATTAGAGGACTTGACAGTAGATCTCAGAGAGACTCTTCCAATCCATTTCCATTTGCGACGCTTAGTCATAGTTTTTCAGGATCAATATTGTATCTCTCGATAAGTTCTTGATTAGTTATAACG